GTCCTCGTCTTTTTGCATCTTAATCCCCGGTGTCCAGTTCAGCCTCAGGTTCATCTCTCTCGTTCTCTGCTGCTACCAAAGCCTGAAATTCGTACAGGTAAGTCCTACTTGTGTCACTGACTCATTTGTGTGTCTATCCCCGTCATCCAATTCGGAAGGGTTAATTCCTCTCATTCTGCACTGCTACTGATGTCAACTTCTCAGCTCCTGTTCTGCTCTTACTTCACTTTCCAAGCCACGTCTGCTTCTGGGTCAGTCCAGCATCTTCTCAATTACAGTACTACAGGGCCGACCCATGCTCCAATGATTAGCTGCCTGGAGGGGAGGGGGCGGGACACAAAGAGGTTTATTTTCTCCCAACAGGAGTTTTTGTTTTCCTCTCCACAGTCCCAACATGGATTTGTTGAGTGGTCATCAGCACTTTCAGTTCCGTTCCAGAGTCCCTTATACTTAACTCTGCCTTGGACACCCAGAGGTTACACATCAACAGGTTTACAGGTCTTTCCCATTTACCAAGTTCTCACAAGTCCGGAGCTATTGTGGATGCTTCTTCCAACTCAAGGCTGCCTCCTTGCTGCTCAATGTGTATTTATTTAAATAAGTAACTTGCCTTGGTTATCAGAAGCCTTCCTTCTTTACATACAGTAACCCTAGACACTCCCTCAGTTGCTATCCAACTTCTGTGATGACCCAAAGTCATGACACCCCGAATTCTTCTCACCTCCTCCATGCTTTCATAATTCTGCATTGGTGGTTTGGGCTAACGCTTGGTTCTTTTGGGGGTCCTGGCCTCCTTGTCCTATGGCCATGAGGTCAGCCCTCAGCCAAGTGGGTTAAGCCAAAATTTCACTCCATAATCCTTTCATGATGCTTTAATCTTGGGCGTTGTCATTCTAAGTAAAATGGAATTTATAACAAATGTTTGGGAGGAATGACAACAACCAAGTTCAATCAGACTCAGCTGTCATTAATTAGCAATCACTCCTAACATCCATTCCTCTACCAAAACATTATAAATACCTAGATAAGATAAGATCACTATCTCTCAATTAAATTCAATTCAAGGTGCTTTATTAGCATGACCGATGGGTATAATCAGTGTTGCCAAAGCAAATAAAAATAATAAAATTAACATGGAACAAGACAAAAAATAGAAGCAAAATAAATCTACAGACATGTTACAGACATTTACAACAAAGACATATTATAAAATATTGACATATACTGAAGGCGGCTGGAGCATTATTGGGAGACAGACTCACTGTTCCTCAGGCTGTGACAGGAGATCACATACTGGGCTGCCAGATCAACTGAGTTCCCTCTCTCTCTCTCGGATGTTTCTTGCATCTAACCTCCACCCCATCTCCACCTCTGCAGCTACCCATTGGACAGGAGGTCAGCCCTCAACCAACCAGGTTAAGACAAAATTTCACTCCATAATCCTTTCATGATGCTTTAATCTTGGGTGTTGTCATTCCTTGTGAAATACTAATATGGATAGAAGTGTCTGATCAGTGGAGTGTTTATGCAAGAAATTTTAACAAAATGGCAAACAGCAGTTAGGGAGAGGAGACTCTTGCTGCGTATCTCTCAGGAGACCGAAAACTTTAGAGAACAATTGCTGCCTGAGAGCACAATTGCCAGTAGGTTTGACAATTCGAAAAACTGACAGTTTTTTTTTTGTTATTTCCATATGTTCTAACACCAACCAGGCCTTTAGATTTCAAAATCTAAAGAAATCATTATAGTGTACTTGGAAATTTGGTATCACTCACATTATAAATTGTATTAGGTAGACAACAAATATTATCTGTCAGATTCCAATAAACCCCCTTTGATCATGATGAATTAATTAAGTCTGAAGTTTCTAAGTGCTTTGCCATGTATTGTAGAATGTGGATTTATTATAGACATCTGGTAATAGCTAACACATAGAGAAAGGTCCTTTTCTTTTTGCAATACTGAGTTCCGTTCAGTTTATTGTCATATGCACAAGTGCAATTAAAATACTTATTTGTACATATGCACCAATAAAAAGACATTAAAGAAATCACCAAAAACATAAACACAGAACAGCAGCAGCATAACAATAAGTTAAATAGATAGACAAGACTTTATGGATCCCATAAGGAAATTCATGAAATTTCCTTACAAGTTCAAATAACATACAACTTAAAAAAAAACTCAGTGTGAGTCAGTGGTAAGGGTAGAGTTCAGTAATCTGACAGCTTGTGGGAAGAAACTCTCTCTGAATCTGGTAGTTCATGCCTTTATGCTCCTATAACACTTACCAGAGTAAAGAGGGGAGAAAAGTGAGAAACAAGGATGACTGGTATCCTTAGTGATACTTCCAGCCTTCCTGAGACAGCAAGTTGTAAAAATGACCACAATAGAGAAGCGTTGTACTCCAATGATGGACAAAACACCAATGATAGTAAAGAAGTAGTAACAAAGCCTCTTTCTATGGCAGTCGGTGTTATCTCAAATCGTAAGGGTCATCGCTGATCCCAAAAAGTCACGAAAAAACTTTGCACTAATGTTAGCAAACCTATGGAACTTGTTTTTATTTATCATCTGTAGTGCCTCTTTTAAGACCACCAATTGATTTACTTTCTGAGGAAACATCAAGATTTGTCAGTATCATACAGAATATTTGAGCTATGTACTTTTTAATCCAATAAGTAGAATTTAGAAATTATTAGGATCAAGTAAAAAAATGATGTTGCCTCTGAAAGTCTTAATATTTAAATATATTTAAATAAGAAGCTTTCATTGTTGCAGAGAATTAATGCTCAGAGATGGTTCAGCCTTCTACCAAGAAAATAATAATAATAATAACAATAATAATAATAATAATAATAATAAGCTACAAAGTAACTCTGCACATGGTCATCGCAAAAGATTGAGTTCTCTCTTATATTCAATTCAAATACAAAATTACAGAAAAATAGATTTTTAGTGTGAGCTCAAGGAGTGTTAATTCAGATTCAAGATACAAGGCTGATGTCCTACAAGGCTGACTAGCCCTCCTTATGAAGGCATTTACTGCATCCTATAAAACACTGAGCCTCAGTTAACAGAAATAAATTTGTGTAGTATGGGAATTATCAATAGAATGTCCACATTAATAAACTGAGAAAAATGAATTCTAATGTGATAATTACATAAAATACTTAGCAGATGGGTTAAACATTTGCCACTTCAATTAGTTTAGATATAAATTCATGCTGAGCAACAGATGCAGCATTTATAGAGAGGCCCTGCTGTGAATATGATCCATCAAGAGCTGGATTAAAAACTACATTCATATCAGAAACAATAATAAAACTATTTTAAGAGTCGTCTGATCACAGCTGGCTAGTAAAATAAAGAATTCTGGGTCAAATGCGCTCAAGAAACAAACGACAATAAAAAACCTATAACCCTATAAACTATAAAATTAACCCCATAAACTTTTCAAAATATATATTTCTCCATTTACCATCACACCACATACACAGAATAAAATAATAACACAATGGCACAATAATGTTATGTAACCAGGTAACCAAATATATGGAGGGCTAGCCTTAGAAGAGGTTCACCTGTGTGGTGTAGTTGAAACAGAGCAAATCAGTGATATATTTGGCTCTCTTAACTCAGAGATGCATTCAGAGATAAGCACAGTACTTCTCAGTTGCTGAATGATTTCTATGGCTGAAAGCAAAAGGGTGAGCTTCCGTGATTTTTCACATGCTCTGTCTCAAGCTTGGAGTTTTATCTTGAAACAAGCTCCTGGGGTTGTGGCCAAAGAGAGAGAGATGCTTAGAGATCAGTTCATAGAGGGAGTCAAGATCCTGTACTTGGGAGGGAGCTCCGGAAATATGTGAGGAACAAACCAGAATCTACCCTGATAGAAGTGCATGATGGAGCATATACGTGGAGTATGGAGGAGAGGTTGGTGAATGTAAAGGCCTCTAAAACTACGAGCAAAGGGCCTGATAGATTTGTAGAGGGGGCACAATGTACTTTGGTTAACACTTATGAAACAAAGTCAGTCACGCTGGAGGATGTCCTGAAAATGGTAGCAGAGCAAGGGAAAGCCATTAGAGAGCTATCACAAGCGGTAAAAGATCTTGCCGTCCAAAGGCCTAGCAGGGTTAGAGGTAAACAAAACATTCAGATGAAGTTCACAGATTATGGAAAGCCTATATGTTTTAAATGTCAGATGGAAGGACACGTACAGTAGCACGAAATTGTCCAGGGAGGATGGCTGAAAATGGGGAGGGGTCAGCTGCTCCTAGTCAGCAGGGAAACTAGAGCCCCTTGGTTGTGGTGAGTCGGACAATCGAGGGGCAAGCAGTAGACTCCAACAAATTGAAGCTATCTCGAGATCAAGTAATGGAACATGCTATTGGGGTTTGTCCAGTGGTTGACATAAAGATAGCAGGAGTTTCTACACCCTGTTTGTTGGATACCGGAAGTCAAGTAAGCACTGTAACAGAGGTGTTTTTCAGAAAGCAGTTGTGTGGGCAGGATGAGGATATGTTGAAAACTGCTGGCTGGCTTAGGTTAACTGTAGCCAATGGATTAGAAATTCCATATTTGGGATATTTGGAGTTAGACATGGAAGCATTAGGCCTGACAATCCCTGACTGTGGGTTCTTAGTGGTGAAGGATCCCCACAATAATCAGAAGTCTGTTCCAGGAATAATTGGTATGAATATAATAAGTTGGTGTAAACAGTTGGTCCACTCTGAATTTGATACAGTATTGGGGGGGAAATTGGACTCTGATTGGGGACAGGTATTTCAGAAAATTCAGACAGGTAATGTGGAGAAGAATGCTGTTGCTAGGGTAGCTGGTAAAGGTACAATACATGTGCCTGCATGGTCAGTGGCCACCCTCATGGTAAACCATCAGAGAAGAACATGCAGATGTTACTTGAGCCATTAAACATACAACTGCCAGGAGGCCTCCTTGTTGTTCTACTTTGATAGAGGGTCATAAACATATCTCACCGGTACAGGTAGTTAACATCTCGGCAGAGGATGTGTGGCTTTCTCCTGGAACACGGCTGGGTGTCTTGTCAGTAGTGGAGAGTGTCAGTAGTGGATCAGGTTGTGAAGTGAAGTTCCAACTGGTGTCTGTTGATGTAGAACAAGTGACAGTGGAAGTTAAAGATGCACAATATTCTCCCAGTGTGTTGTCAGTGTTAGACCAGTTAGATATTGAAGGCTCTGCAGAACAACAGGCAGAGTTATGTGCATTACTGTCTAGGTATGTAGACGTCTTTGACCTGGAGGAGGAAGATTTTGGGTGTACGGATAAGGTTAAGCATGAAATCCATCTAGTGGATGATGTTCCAGTGACACAGCCCTATCATCATTTTCCTCCGATGCAATACAGGGAAGTTAGGGAGCACATCTCGAAGCTCTTGAAAAAAGGGGTCTTACAGGAGAGTAGTAACTCATATGCTTCTCCTGTTGTCATAGTGAAGAAAGCAGATGGTGATATCCACATGTGTATAGACTACTGGAAATTAAATTAGAAGATAAGAAGAGATGCATTCCCTTTACCTCATATTGATGAAAGTTTGGTGCGTTGCAGGGTGAAAATTTTTTCTCGACTATTGATCTGGCCAGTGGTTACCATCAGGTAGCAGTAGATGAGCGAGACTGGCATAAGACTGCCTTTACAACACCTTTTGGGCTATTTGAATACATTAGAATGCCAATAGTTGGTTTTTACCTATAATGTGACACCCCATGCGACTACAGGGTATTTACCTTACTACCTCCTTTTTGGGGTAATGCCGTATCTTCCAGTTGATGCTCTACTTGGGCAGGAGCAGGTTGTGAATCCGAAGATGGACTGGTTAGTTGTGCACCAGGAAAGGTTGAGGGATGCTCACAACAGAGCTAGAGAATATTCTGAGCAGCGAGCAGTGGAAAGGATTGCCGCACGGAGAGACAAGGTTTACTGTCCACTGATCAGTGTAGGTCAGTTGGTGTATCTTAGAAATAGGCTTCTAGGTCGTAATAAAATCCAAGATGCTTGGGGACCTACTGTTTACTGTGTGCTTGAGATACAAGGGACAACTTACACTGTGGAACCTATTGAGGGTGGACTAGTTAAGAGGGTAAATGTTGATTTTAGGCCTTGTGTGCATGAGAGAGCAGCCTCCGTCCCTACTCCTTGTAAGGTGGTCAAGACTACCGAACTTGGATCTAGGGTGATTTCGCACTCTGAGTCTGACTCCGAAAATTCAGAGCATGGAACTGAAGGGGTACTGTTGATGGAGGAGAAGAATCCGGGCTTAGATCCTCACAGGGAAGTAGATGAGCCAAAGATGAGTCCTGATTGTAGGGATCTAGTGGAGACTGTTGACGTGGTGCAGACTGTAGGAGCAGAAGCTGACGATCCTGTCTGGGAAGCCGCACCGGAGAGCTTGATACCAGCATTGCGTCGAAGTAAAAGACAGAAAGCAGGGGTGCATTCAAACCCACACCATGAGCTGAGGTCAGTCTTAGGGTCTATGGAAATGAGTTCAGCAGCTGTTTCATAAATACTGGCTCATTTGGGCGAGGGTTTTTTTTTTAGAAGCTTTAAAGGAGATTAAAATGATGTATGGTGTCACCGAGGACATTGACAGCAGGGGAGAGTGTTACCAGGTGGTTAAGAAGGGGATATTTGAAATCTAACACTGAAATTGGTAGCTGGCGCTTTAAGACGTGCATGTATGAGTGACGGCAGCGCGCCAGTAATTGTGGGAGTGGACATCGTAAAGTTGCACGTGGTGTGTGGCTACGTGTGATGTGAATTCAGAGGTAAATGTTCAGAATTCAGTTGATTATGTAGCTATCGAAAATGAAGTTTGGTAATCCTTGAAAGAGACGTATATTTCTGATATATGAGTGGAGGGTGACATATTAGTTAGAGAAAATTGGTGGATGTTTAGGGATGAAGTGATCCCGACCCCCATGAGGTTCCAGTGCTGTGTGGTTGAGTTTGCGGGAATAATATAATGGTCTTATATTTGTGTTAGATGTTTGCGTTACTTTAACCATTGTTTGTGGAGGAAATGATTTGTTTTGTTCTTTGATAATGACCTTATTCTGTTTAACTTGTTCATAGCGTGTTAAAAGAAGACTGTGATATTCTGTGCATCTTGGATTAGACTAGATCAAAGAGTGAGTAGTTTTTTAATATTTCTGTGATGTAATGGGACCAATGAAGAATGTGGCATCAGACTAATGTGGAGTATTTCTTTCCTTAGGGCAATTGACACTACCATATTTTTTCTTTGTCTTTGTTATTTTAGTAGCGCTTTGTGCATCCTGGTGTGTATATATCTCCATGTATATCTATGTGAAGCTTTTGGGTTAAAGGTTATACTGCATCTAATCTAAGTTCTGTAATAGAAAATAATACAACCATTTATTTATATGATTTCATGGAGATCCAGAATTAAGAAAATCCCCATTTAAATTCATTGTAGTATGGTGTGTTCTTTGTCGGACTACAGTTAAAAAGCACTCAGTGCTTTATTGTGAAACAAAAAGCAAATAATTATATAGTAATACAGTATCTGTAGCACAGCTGGAGACATCCAGATATTTAATGTAAGTTTCCTGTATTTCAGTTTTGCACAAGAAAAACATGAATGTGTACAATTAGTACACCTAACCAGTGTAAATCAGAAAATTACCTTGTTCTTATTGGCAGAATCTGGCTTTAATCACAGAAAAACATGAGAACAATCCACATAGAAAATGAACATGCATTTGTTAAAAAAAACATAGAGGTGTCTTATGATTTATGTTGTAAGAGAAACAAAAAGTTCACAGTGCAAGATTTTCCAGATCCAGCCAGAGAGACACCAAAAATGAGGAGAAGGATAAGAGAAAGTAAAAAAGAAAGTAAACCCGTAAGCATCCTCTCTATCCTATTATAAGGATTCTCAATTTCTAATCCTTCAGGCAGGCGAGCTACCAAATCTGGCCTACAGATTGTTTAGCTTGTGCTTAAATTTTTTGGTGATTAGTACAGTATCTCTGTTAACTTAATGCAGTTCAAGTGGGCCTATAGCTTCAAACAGTATTTGCACTATCATACTGTAGATAGTGTTGCTTTGAGACATCAATGACCAAAAGCAGGTCCTCTTGAGTAGATATTTTTTTGATTCACTACCCATCCACTGTCTCTTTCTTTCTTTGTGTAATATCAAAGAAGCTTGCAATTTTTACTCATATATTTCTTTTAATGAAAATAGCAACACCATTTGATTTGCTCGTGTTGATCCAATCTAAATGGGTGTCATCACAGCAATAAAGGTAAGAATTATGTGAGAAACTGATTTTAAAACTATAAGTTATTATTTTAAAATATATTTTTTTACTTTCTTTGAAGGATTTTAATAGGTTCAATGGCGACTTCAGTTTCCCTAACTCTTTCCCCTAAGGTCTTAAGTTTACCAACCCGTAAGTTTACCTGTTTTGAAGGTTTTCAAGAATGTAACCTTCACATTTCGCAAGAGATTGCTGCATTTAAGGGGTGCTTGGCTGACAAAAGCAAAAAAAAAAGATAAAAGAGAGAAAGTGGCAACCCTTATAAAGAGAAAGAAATCCATTAATTTTCTATGTGCTTCATCCAATTTTGCGTTGTGGGGTCTCTGGAGTCTATCCCGGCATGCAATAGACACAATACAGGCCACACCCCGGACAGTCTATCGCAGGACACACACCTAGACACAGACACATACTATGTACACAATCTTACTAGGGCAACTCTTCCCAGCATCCAATTAACCTTTGGACTGTGGGGGGAAACCTATGCACAAACAGGGTGAACATACAAACTCCATACAGATAGCAGCTCAGGTCCAGAATGGAACCCAGGCCCCAGCACTGAAAGACAGCAATGGTAACCACTGCATCGCCATACCGCTCCATCAATTTAATTATATATTCAATTATTTTTAAATTAATGCAGTTGAAAAACCCCATACAAAATTAAAAATGTTAGCATGTACTAACCACAAACTATTGCTGAAATTTACTTATACTTTAGACGTGGTTCCATCATACAGATGACACCCTCTGAAGATATTATGATATCTTTACAACAGCTTTTGGTGTGCTCATAAATGCACACATATGCATGGTTTAAAGGAATGTGCAATTGCTGAGTAGTGGCAGTTTCATAAATGATACTAATTTCTGTGAAAGATGCAATCATAATAGTGATGAAAAAAACATTAGTAATAAATAGAATTTAGAAAACATTCTGCTGTTCAAACTAGTTGATTTTACTATAATATGATTGAAACCGTGAGTTTATACAAAAATATAATGATACTAAAATATATAATTACATTAACGGATATTACATAAAGCATCGGTCACATACTGTATGACATAATTGTTTTCATGATCAATTTTCACTCAGTTGTGAAGGCAAATGGAATATCAGGCCCCTGAATATTTAATTTTGTTCACTTTATTTTCATTTAAAAAGGCTCTTCTTACATTTCATGCCTGCTATTTGCCATGAAGCTTTTTTTCTGTACTCTTACAGCATAAGACGTCCCTTCACAGGACAGCTGCTTTTCTGAAGAAGAGAGGGGTTAGTTAATTAATTCTTCCAAATGATTTCCTCCGCGTCGGAGGAAATTGCAACAAGCTGTTTGTTTATTCCTCAGTGCCTAAAGTACCATTAACTGAATGCCTTACTTGCAAAAACAGCAGAATTGCAACAGGAAGCCACAAAGATAGCTTTAACAGTGACATGTCATTTATGAAAACAAAAGATTAAAAAGTAGATTGAAGTAGATTATTTCAAATTCTTGCTTACTGGTTTAGATTTTTAATCACAAAATGACTTTCTGACAATTATATTTAATAAGGAATGTTTTTAAAAAAGGGACTAAATATTTTGAATCCCTATAATTTTTGCAAACTTTGACAAAGTGAATCCTACTAGACTGCATGTTTTAAATTCACCAACATGTGTTTAGACAGGTACATAGAACTAAGAAGCATATCAATCCCAAAAAATACATTAGAATGAACTGAAAAGAAACTACTTAAATTGAAAATAAATAGGTGGATTTCATTCAATTGATTATGAGTCAATAGTTTTTGAAAGCCAACAACTGCAAATTAGGAAACATTAATTTTGATGAAAATAACTTAATATATTAAACATAATGCAAATGATAAAATAAAGAAGCAATAAGTTTTAATAAAAATTGACCTGTAACATACATACAAATGTTACAAACTATGTTTAGGGTGCCTTTACAGCTGGCCTAATGAGGAGAAATTTAATCTGCACTCTGAGAAGGCTAGTCCTTTATCACAGTTCAAGCCTTCACACCCGAAGAAGGCTCCACAGCTGAAACGTTGTGTTTTTCTTATCTTTTCAGCATGGAAAAAAGCATTACTTGTTCCTTTATCTAAATAGAGCAGAAAAAGAACAGATTCCCTTTACTCCACAACACTTCATTCTCTTTGTCAAACACCCTTGTTTTGATTTGAATTTATAAAGATGTAGAATACAAAAAAACATATGTGATAATTTTGAGAAAACCGTGAAAACTAGTGAAAAGATTTTTTAAAGGTTTTATTATAAAGTTATAAGTTCTTTCAGTGTTTTAGAAAAAGTTCAAGTTTTGAGCCACTATTTCTCAGCTTAATAATTTTTATCAGCTATTTACAGTATGTCCTTCTCATTCTGTTTTATCTTTTTCTGAAATGTAAGTAAATAAGACAAATGTTTTATGCCTAATACAACAATCGATGCAATGCGCTTTTGACACCTTTCCAAAACAGAATTGATGTTTTTAGACTTTGCATGAAGTTTTGCTTGATGTACAATGACAGATACATCTGTCACAACTTAATTATTTCTGAGCCTAATAACAAATATTTTTTGGTGTGTTGACTCTTTATTTTTGGGGAAAGACGCTTTATCTTACCCTGTCATCCTGAAGGTAATAGTGATTCTACATATTGTGAAGGAAAGTAGTCAATGTTCATATATACTATGGTTTCGAAATCAAATAAGGAACTACTTTATTATGATGGTAAAACTTTATAATAATAGAAGAAGGCTAAAAGAGGAAAAAAGAGATGTTTACTAGGTCTAAAAGTGACCAAACATTTTTAAGAATCCTTTATGTAACTACTGCAGTACTTTAACTATTTACAGGCTTTAAAATGAATTATTTTATTTGTTATAACAAAATAGAAAATTAAACTTTTAAAACCATTTTGTATCATAGCTAAAACAACTTTGTAAAAATAAACCATTTTGTTTTATTTCTTATTTACTCCTCAACTAAAAAAGAAGTTCAATCATATTTTTGGGAAGGATGTTAATACAGTAGTTTGAAATTGTTTTTTTAAATAAATGTTTCACATGGCTGCAACTGTTACACATCTGTTAAACAGCCAATGTTCTTACTTGATTTAAACAGACTGCACATTGTTTTGGAGGCAAGATTGTGTTCTAAAATTATTTAAATGTTTAAAGTCTTACTTTATAAAACATAAAGACTTTGCTCCTTGCCCTACAGTATCACTGCAGGCTGAGCTGAACAGACAATTGTGAGAAATACTGTAAAAGGGAGGAAGCTGGGTCACAGCCACATGAAAAAAATCATGAAGCAACATGACAAGTTCATCTGAGGAGAGCAAAGGGGAAGAGGAAGTGGATGATACATTCTAACTCAGAAAAACAACCCACTGCTGTTTATTCATCTTGGATCCCCTACCCCCTTCACCACACACACACAAGCTTCTACCATATTAGTTTGTACTGAACTTCTAGTTGAAAATCACACACCTTACTGATTGAACAATTAAAAGTATGAACCAAGATTTTCAAATAATTATATATTTTGGCAATAAATTTCAACAAATTTAAAAAATGTTTATGCCAGTAAGTTATGATCTAACAAATCACTTGTTTTGTTTTTTTTTTTTATATCAACTTATAATTAATTACACTTACCATATAAATCAATAGCTTAAGTAGTGCAATAGGAAACTATTCTCCAAGCTATGATTGCATTTACATGTACCGATTAAAACTTTTTTTTTCCTCGGTAAGAACTCCAGAGAACTGCTGAATCACATAGTCAGTGTGGGCTATTGATTGCTCTAAACACAGACGAGCTATTCAAATTGAAATGCGTACATAATGTTCAAAATAAAATACAGAAGTTACATCCCATTTTTTAATAAAATTCCAAACCACTGCAGCAGGGAGCTGGTTAACCATAGAGTATTAATACTTTGGCTTCACCATTAGGGTCTTAGAAGCGAATGGCGAAAACACCAAAAACACATTTTTTCTCAAAAAGCAATGCTTTCCGAGTGCTAAACACTATTATCTTCAGCAATAATTTCAATTAGCGTTTACACTTGTAATCTCTTACACAACCATTTTAAAATGGAATAAATTTTAAATTTTTATTTTTAAATATGTCTTACCCACCCTGTTTTCTAAAGTTTTCAAAACTTTATAATTTCATGTTTGAGTTTAATCAGTGCACAATCTTCCATACAAAATGCAGTTGTCCATATCAGCAACAATCATTAAAAAGAAAACAATAAACAACATTTAAACTATTATGATTGGTGGAAGGTAAGAGCGGCAAAAAATGATTGAGACCAAGCCCTACTACGCAAAATCCTGCTTGCATCAGAATTGCCAAACTGGTTTCTACTGGATTTAAGGCATTCCATAATACTCGCAACATACGTGTACAAATTCCACCACTACACAAAAATGCAACATTTCCTCCCATTATTTATCTGCTCTTGATTTAAGTTTAATTTATTTTTATCTAAAATCTGATAATGAATATTATATATATATACCTGTACTGTATGTGAAAGTATATATATTCATCTTATTTTTCAATTTGTTTTAAAATGCTACACAAATTATTGAATTATTGAATCATTTGCTATTTAATAAAAACTTCTTAATATATAAATCCTGAATCAAATAATATATTAATGAGAGTCAAATCATAATTAAAAGAAAAAAATATATTCTGCTGTACTGTATATTACTTGTTTCGCATCTCAGCAATGTACATTCTGCTTTCAAAGTTACTAGAGCCAATGACTTAATGTTGTGAATGCAAATAAATGACTACAATAACAACAAAAATATAATATAGTATCTTTATATAGATATGTTAGCTTATTAACTGACACAAAGGTTAACTATTGTGCACAGTTAATATACAGTAGGAGCACATTCCCTTTTTCATTCTCAAGAAATTCCACTGCTTTTATTATGACCTATTCAGAGGTGCTTTTGTTTTCATCTTGTTATTTATGTGAAGAAATTACCTTAATTTTTTTTTTTTAAAGTAGAACTGATCCAAATTATTCTGTCAAAAAATCAAGTAATATCTAATTTTGGCTGGAAGGCAATTTTTTTCTCTCCAAATTTCAACAATGTTACCTGTTAAACAGACCTGTCAAGAGAAATTCTTTTTAATGTATAATCTTTTAATATTTGGTTTTACAGCTTCATGTTTAGGCCATGCTAACCACAGATTAAGAGATTCTTTTTCACACAAACCTCACTGTGCTTTTGGTTTCCAAAATTACAAGAGCAGAACACAAAAAGCCTCACTTTTCAAGCATTGGTGGCAGTTGATGATTTGTTTTTAAATGTCCTTCAGAAAAAATACTAAATGATGTCTATGCATTGTGTCAAATCAGAACAACTACTCTAGAAGAAACTGAATGTTTTGCAGTTAGGGAAACAATGAAGAAAATTGTACTGTCAAGCCTTATAACATTATGATTTTCTCTCATAGTGAAACTATTTTTTGTTGCTTGCTTGGTTGTTTTTCTGAAGGTAATGGCGGCAATTGCATTGCGATAGTGGGACGAGGAGGACACGTTACAAAAAGGAAGTGATGATCTAGAAGAAGAAACCCGAAGAAGTAAAATAGAAAAGAGCTCTTTTTAAAAAAAAGGGACTTGATGTTCAAGTAATATTAAAGAAATTAAATACCTGGACTCGCTTGTAAAGGGAGTGCGAGGATCTCTTGCAAGCCGAAGGCGAACAGGCCATGGAGGTAGCAACACGCGGGCTGGAGAACACATTTGTGTCCCCTTGTTAGGCTGCATGGGGAGAGAAAGACTGAGGGGCGCGCTGACAATCAACCACACTCGAACAGGGGCTGTGGCTCAAGGCTCAGCCAGCTTAGCGGCCTGTGCTTTACCCTGTAAACTGTTCTCTCTTTGCTTTTTCCCTGCCCATTTTGGCCCTGCTGCCAAGTGGGAGAGACAGAGTGAGGGTGTGAGTGTGCAAGAGACAGAAAGAGAGAAAGGCCAGAGAAAGAGGCACTGAGTTTGCACAGATCCTGCAATGAAATGATTCTACCTATTTGCTCTGAATAGACGATGTCATGCAACAGAGTGACAAGTCACATCTTTTGCATGTTAATTATTTTAGGGACACTGTTTCACTAGAGCCCTCCCTCTCCCCCACATACACATATGCATACATACACACTCTCCTACTGGCTATACATAATTTAACAGACATATAAAGGATAATGGATTATTTCCAAATTAATTAAAAAAAACTGTGGATGCATCTCAAATGGTTGTGTTGTGCTTAAGAGAGTGAAAAATAAGAAAAGAAAGGGATACTTACATTATTCTCATGCTTTTTTTGCCAAGACCCATGAATTCAATAAGAACATACGCTGTGATTAGAGATTTTGGATGCTTCATGGAAGAGAAAATACAAAACAAAACAGGGAGTTAAAATGTTCTTCCCAAGCATGCTGTGGAGGCTTTTGTCAGCAGTTGGCACCAATCCCAGGTAGTACAGCCTTAGAGATCCCATCCAGGGTAATCATTAAACGGCTCTTTGGCTGTTCTGCATCTGCCTGCATTTCTGTTTTGATTTGCTTCATTATTAAGCTTCTAAAAACAACAACAAAAATGAAAATTGTGCATGACGTCACTGCATTCTTGTTATCCCGCTGTACCCAGGACAAAAAAACCTGAATGATAATAAATAAAAAACAAAGAAGTGAGTTTGGCCTTCAGTTCTCACTATTTTCCAGCCCTGTCCTTCTCTGTGTAGTCCTCAATGTTACTAATACTTTAAAAAATAGGTGCTGAAAAGCCCTTGAGAGTTTTCTTTTTTTTGGTTAAATCACATTTTTTAATGCTGTATTAAGACGTTAATAGTTAAAAATGTTTCAAATTCTGGGACAACCAATACCTGGCAAAATTATTCCTCTGCATTGCTGAGGACGTATAGATCCCTGAGACTCCTTAACGAGAAGGGGAAGTGACCAGAATAATCCAGCCTTTCTATGGCAAATTCAGTCCTTAACATCATGCAGAGGTTTGTAAAAGGCAGTACTGCTTAAATACAAAATGCTTCAGTCTCATTTTCTCATCCTTATCTTCTTTCAGGCATTGTCCCGGGCAGCATTCTGAATGACGTCACACCTTTTGTTATTTATTATTTTATTTTCCACCCCCCAAGTAAGCTTCTAGATTTGGTTTTTCTTTAAAATTGAGTCCGATTAAATTGAATAGTTTGCTTCAATGCAAATATTGTAAGAGAGCAGCAAACGGTAAACTGCAAGTTCTTTACAAATCTCTCTCTGTTTCTTCCTGCTTGCAGGCAGGGAGCTTGTAAAAGTTTCAGCTGTGACTGCTAGGCCAGCCTCTCTGGCAGCGGTTCAAAAAACTCTCTGCCTGTTTCAAAGAGCTGGGCACGTTTAAAAGAACCATGCTGCACTCCGCCCCCATTGTGAGAGTCAAGGGCAGTGCCCACTATAAGACTGCTGCACACAGTAGCTTTAATATCAGACTTTGTATTCTTATAATACAGATCTTTACAGCAACTATAACAGAAACTAGGTCAGATGGTGTCTTCTTAACATCTGGCCAAACATGAGTCACCTCTGATTATGTACTAATTAAAAAAAATAGTTGTAATCTACTTCATTTATTTTGTAAGGTTATTAATAGTCATAATTTAAATGTATCTCAAATATCAGGATCTGTTTTTTATATGGAGTTCATGAAAAAGCTCTGATTTTCAAGGAAATTTCATCAACACCTTTTCTGGTTCTGCATTTTCTTCATTTTTAATTGTTTCAGAGTCATTAATCTTTACCTTTCCTGACTCCTCTATCTCTAAATAGCTTGTCATGCTGAGCATTGTCAGGAACATGTTTTAGTTTCATAGGCAGCCTCACATTGTATTTTTTGAGAAAATTAAACACAGCAAATTTATGTTATTTTTCATTAACATTGAAAAATGTTAATTACTACCAATACTTTTGTGGATGATTGAAATATTATTATGAAAATAGTCAACATTGTTTTGAAAAAATACACATAATTTTAAGCTAAGCTAATTTGATTTTCTGTATCCAACTTTAATGCTTTGTGTCAGTACATGATAGTTTTGAACTGATTTGTGAGTTATTCTGTTATTGTTGCTCTCAATCCATTATCCAAACAGATTTCAAGTACAAAGGACACATACATGATTTAAAATGGTTTTGTTTCCAGGGGGCAGATTTAGTCTAGATATTTATACTTTTTTTTTAGAGTCTAGCTTATTGTTTTGAAATATGAAATGTGTACTAAAAACAATCTTACATTGCTACTGTAGTCTGTAAACATGTGAGGAGTATTTTCCAGTGATTCTGTTAAAGTCTTGCTATTATTCCTTATTCATAGGTGACTGCACGATTCTGCGCTATTTTTGATGTTTTCATTTAACAGTAATTATTGTACTTTACAAAGTTGCTTCCTTTTTCAAAACCTGTATTTACATTACTAACAGTGAGAAGGTATGAGAAACAAATGCTTGGCTTTTATGTTAACTATCATGATATTTTTTGCTTAAACATTGGGGGCATGTTTAGCATTCATGAAAAGTATCAGTCTGACATTGCATGTAACTGTCACGGACGTCCAAAGGGACTAACCGTGGGGAGCAGGAGAGCGGAAAAAGACCCATATGCGTAGCGGCGATACGGGAAAAAGGCCCGGGCTCATAGTGCAAAGAGTTCAGGAATGCCGTATAGAAACCTATGCCCTCAGGGAGCGGACGTGGGGCGCCCTGGTGCTAGGCGGGTCTCAGGACATCCGAACGTCAATGCTGAGCCAGGACAGAGTGCAAGACCCGGAAATATATAGCCCAAGGGAAAGAGAGGGACAGGAAGGACAGCAGACCGGAAACTAGGGACAGGACAGAGAAGGAGCGCCCTCTGGCTGCAGAGGGTGTGACAGTAACTCTTGGCTTTGGGACTTGGACTGGGATTCTTTGAGGTTCTTCACCTGAAGCTTCTCTCAGAATGTGGTCTAAGTCTTCCCCGGTTTCAGGCCGATTAAAAGTTGTGGAGTGAAAAAAGAATTGCCGCATGTAAAATTATTGTGCTAGAACCTTTCGTTGTTGAGCTGTTTAAGACCAAGCCATGTTATGTTTTTTTCCAAACACCTTAGTGCTGCAATGTATGAATACACAGAATAAAGCAACGTATCACTTTGAACCATGAGTCCAAACTGAGACATGTTAGATACTTTGAATAACCACAAATTATGAGTAGATTCAACTATGCAGTGCATAAGAAGCACTATGCTATGGGTAAAAGAATGTAAGTATGTGAACAGGTGGCAGCACTAGCTTTCAACAGTATCAACACTCACTAGTTTGAGATTGGAACTCTGTGGGGGGAGCAGAAAACACTGTGGTGGCCCAGAAAAGTAGTCTGATGCAAAAACCAGAAGAGAACTGCCACTTGCTGAAGATCGCTAGATGAACCCCCCAAAAAGATTACATATCAGCTTATGTGGCTAGAATTATGGGAGGGTGGAGAGTCAAGGGCCAACATCAACTAGTTGGACACCAACTGAAGAAAGAGTAAAAATGCCCAGATTTGGCACAGGCTGTCACTGTGCGCTTGCATATGTAGGGTGGAGTTGAAGTCAGTAATCGGGGATTCCAGCAGGGACAGCAAAATGAAGGGGAGAGGGGAGACAAAAAAAACAGTTACGTAGGCTGGGGCTGTAGGTGGAGTGATTGGACACTTGACCAGAAACAGAGATAAAAGAGAGGAAAAGAGGGAGAATAGAGTAAATGGGATTAGTAAGAGAGATAAAGAAGGGGGGAGTCAAAAGTGCTGCAGTTGTCTGGAAGCCTTGATGACATCAGCAGAAGTAAAAGAAACATGCAAACAGCATGATGGGAGTCGACCCACTTGTCTTTGGTGGAGGGTTAAGGCTGAAGATGCTAAAAAGCAACTCCAGTTTAGGATGAATACAATGAAAGTAAGGTCCCAGCAATCCCAAGTGTGAAGAACGACTGTCTGCACCTGCAAGTGCAAGTGCTATAATGATATATACAGCCAAGGAGTTCTTATGCATAGGAAAGTGGAAGTGCAAGGTTAAAATTTGACCTCCATGTGAGGTAACCCAATTAGACACTTCGACCTCATTCTGCACAACTTTGTTTCATAGAACTTAACAAAATTGAGACGAAGTTTAAGATACTGGGTTAAATCCATTTCAGAAACAATAATAGCTTATGAACTACTGAGTGCAACAGAAAAAAAACATTTGGCATAATGTAACTGTTTGTTCTGACTGCATTCAGTTCAATTTACACCTGGACCACTGCAGACATGTTTTACTATTTCCCATAGATTTATACCACACTAACCTTTTCTGTGGCATGAAATTTGCAACACATAATAGATGTAAATACCTTCAACATAACAGCATACGAACATAGCATTACATAACATATGAGATTAAATAAACAAAGCAGTTGTTCTGTAACTAAAGACTTGTAAAGGTATTAATTACATGTAATTACAACTCAGATTACATTAAAAATCAGATTTCTACTTGCTTCAGTCACAGGATAGAGCTAAATTAGAAGAATAGTTAGAAACCAAAGGCCTCTTAAGAGAAAGTCAATATTAATTTAGAAAAGGAAGGTCTTGTTTAAGTAACTAAAAATACAGTAAGTTAAACTAAGGCATACAGCATAATACAGTAAGAAATCAAAAATAAAATCACCCATTAAATGCTGATGTTCAAATTAAATGCTATAAAAATCAATGTCAATGTATGCATATTGATTGAGAACCCATTAAGAAGAAGCAGTGTGTCATAAAGGGCAAAACATTTACTTGGGTATACTGTATATAAGCGGTGGTATGCTGGAAGGATCCTTTTTTGGCCTGTTTTTCAGCCTCATCTATAATAAAAATACAAAATACAAAAATAAATACAAAAAATAGGCAGTGTGGCAAGATAATTGTAAGGACACTTTGAAAAAATCATGCAATGAACAGACATACAGTAGTAAATTAAAATTAACATTGTAAAGCTCAAAGTGATGCTCAATTGTACAAGGAACACACATTATGAATATTGCATGGGTGATTCTGAGCAGAAGAAATATATATGAGAAAGGGATATGGATGTTTATGTACATTTTCCTTAGTTCCTTAGAAAAAAAAATGTGTTCAATCACATAGTAAATAACTATTTAAATCCAGGGAAACTATGCTGAAGCTTTACAATGCACTAGTTAGACTTTTTAGATTTTTAATTTTTGTCAATATACCACAAAAATTGATATTATAAAATCAGACAAAAATATTATAAAATCAAACAAAACAGATATTATAGCCATAGAAAGAGTTTAAAGACGATAATTAAGAATAGTATAGTTTTTGGTGTCAAGAAATTGTCACATATGAAGAGGTTAAGGGAAATCTCATCAGTTTAAAAAAAACAAAGTGAGAAGAGATTTGATTCAAATATATACTGTAAGATTTATAATAA